CTTGACACTCAAATATTTTCAAATTTGACATTTCACCTCAATTCCATTCTCCTATTTCCAACTGCTTTCTAGATATCCATTTACCTATGCTTATCAATGGCACTTCAAATCCAACAATTTCAAAACTAAAATTCTATTCACCCGTACCTTCCTGTCCTTCGCTCTACCCCCACCAATTCAACACCAAATCCTGTTTTCTACTCTTATGTTCTCTAGTCTGGATATTGATACCACTGTCCACCCAGTAGCCCAGGTTAAAATCTTTTATTCTTTTTTTTTTTTTCTTTCCCTTTTTGTCTTTTTTCGTGACCGGTAACAGGATCGCAACCCTCAGTGTCACGCCCGTACCGCGACCGGCAACGGGATCGCAACCCTCGGTGTCGCGCCCGCACCATGCTCAACCAGTGAGCGGACCAGTCTCTATATGAGATCCGAACCCTCGGCGCTCCGCGCCGCCACACTCCCAAGCGCCGCACTACCGAGTGCGCCACCGGGCCAGCCTAAAATCTTTTATTCTTTACCCCCTAACCCCACCATATCTTATCTATTTTACCTCCACAATATCTTTACTTTTGTCTCTATTTTACCTCCACAATATCTTTCCTTTTGTCTCTCCCCTGTCTTCACTACCACTGTCTACCATAAATGATTTTTAAGTGGGGTTCTTTAGAAAGAATCCCTGTACCCCTGGAGATCCAGATTCACTAAAGTGAGGGTAGTGCTCTGCTATGGTCTGAATGTTTGTCCCCTCCAAAGCTCATGTGGGAGTTTGATTCTCAATGTGATAGTGTTGAAAGGTGAGGCCTTTAAGAGGTTATTGGATCGTGAGGACTATGCTCTTATGAATGGATCAATACATTCATAGAGTAATGGGTTGGTATGGGTGTGGACTGGTGGCTTTATAAGGAAAGCAAGTGAGCATGTTCAGAAGCACCCTTGGTCAGCCACCCTTGCTGTGTGATAGACTGCGTCACCACAGGACTGTGTAGAGAGTATCCACCAAGAAGAAGGCCTCACCACATGTGCCCCCTGGACCTTGGACTTCCCAGCCTCCAAACTGTAAGAAATAAATTTCATTTCTTTATAATTTACCCAGTTTCACGTATTCTATTATAAGCAACAGAAAATGGACTGATATAGGCTTGGGTATCTAATTTTACACAAAGCTTCCCAGATGACTTCTCTGCATACAACTGATAAAAATGAACATTCTACAAGCTTCTAGAGTTATCTTTTAAAAGCACTACTATACTCACAGCATTCTTTAGCTTAAAACCATTCAGTGCTTCCCCAGCTGCCTATAATATAAAGTCCAAATTTCTTTGCTTGTGATAGAACAAGCTTTATTCACACCTTGGCCCTAATCTACGTTTTCCAGATGCATTTTCACCTGCTCCCCTTCAAGTGCCTTTCAGTCTAACCAAATAAGTTAGACCCAATATGGCATGTACGCTTGGATTTCTCTGCCTTTTTTCATAACCATTTCTATCTAGGGTGCCCTTAACTTTTTTTTTTTTTTCTTCTGTATATGGAAAACTCTTCTCAATGTTTCCTCTCTTCTGTGGCCTTCCCTGACTGTCCTTTCCCCTCATTCCTCCAGGTAGGAGTAACTGCTCTTCACCTGTGACTCCTCGACACTTTGTCTATACTTGAATCCCTGCAGGCATTACTTGGTATTGTGATGGTTGTTTGCATGTCTGTCTTTATCTATATATAGTTAGGTCACTGAGATAAAGATAGTGTCACTTATCTTTTATGAGTAAGCACCCAGCAAGAGTGCCTCTTTCCCTTTGATTAAGAAGTAAGAAACTCTCTCCAACTCTTTTTATTACCACCTCTTCTGACTAGCAAATTACCTTCTACCTATATTATTCATCTGCTTCTATCTCATCCAAAAGAATGTGGCATATCTTATTAACAAAGAAGGAACCTCCTGATTTTCTGGACCGAGTGATGGTTGGAGGCCATTTTGGTGTCATGGAATTCATTAGTGTCTAAAGATACCTTGCTGGGATCTTCACTAAAGGAAGGTATAGAACATCTGGTGATGTTCAAGGTATTCATCTGCTTTTGACTGTTAAAGATCAACTGATCTGATGAGTTGTGCCAAACCTACTGTTTTGTAAGTTTCTATAATTTGTATCATTAATGTCTACTTCACACCTGGAAGTGTTCTTTTCAGCTATATCTTACAAGAACCATGAAGATTTTTTAATAGGAATAAGAAGCATTACAAATTAATTTGATAACAGTTTTACATGATACAGGAGACTTTAGAATGATGATCCAAAGATACAGGGAAAACTGTCCATTTTTATGCTTAGGTTCTATGAAGCAGGGACAGACATGCAGAAATGTGATTGGGCAAGAAAAGTATGACCTGATGCTATTAGACTGAGAGCGAAAACCCAGCAAGGCCTGGGGGATGAAAGATGAGAGCATTTATCTGTTGGTTCTCACCCCCACTGAGACAAGGCCAACTCCTCAGATATTAATTGCCCAGCACTTCTGAGTTGCTCATGCTTGAATATGTTGCAGAATCCCAAGAATGTCCCACACTCACTCTCAGAGAGACCTCAAGGCATGTGGTATATGTGGCCCAAGAAAGGCACCATCGGGTTGCCTCTGCCACAGCTGGTGGACGACTGCATGGAGCCAGGCACCTTACTGAAGCAGGAGTTGGAGTTTGAGGTGTGGCTCAGAGCATGGGGAAGTGGGACACAATAGTTGCCTGAGACACTCTTCTTCCTCTTGTAGTCTAGACTCTTTTAAGCTCCCCAGTTAGGGTTCCCAAACATTTTGTTCTTGTTGCCACTGTCCGCATACCAAGGTGATTTTATCTCAGATGCATGACCCTGTTTTTCTCTTTCTTGGCAGGAGCTAGGTATTGAGCATGTTCTTCCAGTCTTTGTATTCACTAGAGATTTCCTTGATAATGTTGCCTCACTTAAAGTCAATTTTGAAGTCCTTAACAAATGATGGTTCTGGAGACAGGAAGTCCAAGATCAAGCCACCAGCAGGGCTGGGGTCTGGTGAGGGCTCTCTCCTTGGGTTGCAGAAGGCTACCTTCTCCGTGAGTGTTCATGTAACTTCTTTGTGCATATGGAGGGAGATAGAGAGCAGCGTGAAGATTTTTTTTGAGTCAGAAGTCATTTTTGGTGTATTACATCTCCTAAGAATGCATCTGAGCTGTTGGCTTTCACAGTGAATTGGGGCTCTAGTGGAAATCCTGTAGCAAAGACCTGCTTTATGTTTGCAAATGCCTCTTTCATCTTGAACTGCAAACACACACCTGTTTCTCTGGCAAAACATATTAGGAGTTCAGAAAGGGTATGAAATTTGGGGGCAGTTCTGATGAGTTTACAGTTTGCAATGTAATCATTACTGTCTGGTTGTGAATATTAGAGAAGAGGCTTTGGTATGTGTGCTGTAAGATAATAGTTGGACATGGTATCTGCCGAGAGCTGGAGATGATTATGAAGCCTTTTGTTTTATCAGACCCCCCCCCCCAAATGCTACAAATCATGATTTTTATCACATGGATCCATGTTTAAGGAATTAATAAATGTTTTTCTCTTGCCATTTTTCTTCTGAGAGTGTCAAAAAGGAAATTGAATGCAAAGTATCTTTAATATTGAAATATGCTAGGTAACTGTGTTAGTTCTTTTTTTTTTTTTCCTTTTTGTCTTTTTTCGTGACCGGCAACGGGATCGCAACCCTCGGTGTTGCGCCCGCACCACGCTCAACCAGTGAGCAGACCGGTCTCTATATGGGATCCAAACCCTCGGCGGGAGTGCCGCCGCGCTCTCAAGCGCCGCACTCTACCAAGTGCGCCACTGGGCCGGCCCACTGTGTTAGTTCTGAAAGCAACATGAAAATATCCTGCTCTTATTCTGGGAATGGGTCGCTAATTATAACTCATTAAAGAATCAAAGCCCATTCTAATTCCAGGACCAGAATGTTGCTAGTGCCCTTGAGTGTGAAAAGCTGCTATGCCAGATTTGGTTCTTTCATAGGAATTGTCTCCTTATTCCAGTTGGACAGTTGGTTTAAAAGAACCAGAGGCAAAAATACGAGAAGCCTTTAAAAAGTTTGTGGAAAGATTTGTATTTTAATTATATTTTTCTCCAAACTTTTTGAAGTACCCACATATCAATTTAGGACTAAAAGTAAGCTAATCTCTGTGTTCACTTTCATTACTCAACCTAAAACAATTGATTAATTGATTATAACTCAGCACAGCCACTAGCATTAATAGGCTTGAAAGTTTGGAGGCAAAAGACAGGCAGTCAGATAAATAACTTGGAATTGAATTCTAGCCTAGAAAGGCATATCTCAATTCTGAATGTCTTAGAGACTTGTCACATAAAGGGAGGAATGTAGAACAATATGCATAGTACTATGGCTTAAAAATCAAGAGACCCAAATCTGTTCCTTAAAATTATTTTCCAACTTGGATCCTCTCCATTAAATGGGAAATCGTTTTTAAAAAATTTCCCTACCCAGAAATGAAATTTGTTTTTTTTTTTTTCTAAAAAGGGAGTGCATAGATAGATAGATGGAGAAAAAGAAATCCCTTTTAATCTCAAGATTCCTTGGCTCTCTCTGAACTATTTCCCCATGAGCCTTTATCTGAAAGTACTAGGAAAGCTGCAAAACTAAAAAGGCTATGATCACTTAATATTCACTAATAATTGCTAAGTGTAACCTCTACAAAAACATTTTACATAATTAACTCTGCTATTAAAGGTAAGGAAAAACCAGAAGCTAGTTCCCAAGGACCTACATAAGGGAAGGACTTTTTGGCTTCACTTTTCTCCTTTTGATGGACAAATCTCTCTGAGAAGTACTTCTTTCAGTATAGGAGAGGAAGTATGAGATTTCCCAGGAGGAGGAATATTTAGCAATAGTCATTTGGCTCCAGATACAAGACAGAAATCTTTTGTAGCTGAACCTGGTAGGGAGAGAAAGGAGTTGAAAAATTGCTGGAAGGCAAGATAATGGACTCCTTTTGGTAAGTGTGGATTCATTCATTCAAGACTCTCACAAGAGGGTGCAATAGACTTTCAGTCCAGAAAACCAGCAGCTAAAGACAAGTTACCAAAAATGCTTACCTTCGAATTTAAATTTGGACTAGGTTATAAAAGACATCATTCTAGTTAGGGTAAAGGTATAAAATTTGGATTCATTGTTAAGATTCTAGTAAAGAATTAATAAAAGTTTGCTCCAGAGTCTTATTTTGAATTAGTATTTAACAGATGAATTGTTTTGGTTGAAAGTTTGCAAACTAAATTTGAGGGAAGGCAATGTAACCAGATGTCAGGGAAAGTATGTATCTTGATGTTTTGACCTTTGTAATATACAACAAATATCAAACACCAGTAATCCCATACCGAAAATGTAGAGAAATTAACTAAATGGAAGAATTCAAATTCTTCTGTACTAAAATCACAAAGCAAAATTATGACCTGTAGTGGTGTGTTTATAATTAGTAAACTGGTAATTTAATTTGTTAAATTTACTCAGGCTTGAAGTACCTATGTCCACCCCCACTCCCCGTGGGTCCCACTTTGCTTATCAGGAGTGATAGTTGTTTCCTTTGCCCTTATCGCTCTTTTGCTTGTTTTCCCTGTCAAGTTGGTAATTATTAATTTAATGTAAATGTCTTTTCTTTCAGTCCTCCTCGCCCTCTGACTAATATGAATGACACTACAGTTAGCCACATGTCCTCTGGAGTGCCAACTCCCACCAAGAGGTATGTATGTGTTGTGCCTCAAAATTGAGTGCAGGCCTCTGCTACTGATTTACAACACCCCCTTCAGAAGTGAGGCCTGAGAAGCAGAGTGGTTCCACACAGCAGAAAGGACTGGCTTTTTTCCTCCTCCTTTGACTGTCTTTTAATATTATTTTCTACTTTTTATCTTCCTTTTTTTTTTTGCTACTAGCTCACAAAAACAGCAATTGACATTTGTCTTTGAGGGGTGCCTCAGGTAGAAAGTTCATTTGTGACAAGCAGTGAACATAGTGTCAGAGCAGATTAAGCATTTTTGAGATCTTTTTTTAACATTAAACAATATTTTGATTATCATGAGTTTCAGCAGTTTTGGATTTGAGTTCCTTAAGTGTCAAAGATCATTTCTGCTTTCTGATTCGACTATGTAAATTGAATTAATCCCTTATAAAATATTCTCCTAAGTCATTCTGTATATAATTTATAAACATTTAAGTTGAAAAGCCTTAGTTCCTCTCTCTTAGTTATACAAAGAGTTTGCTTTAGGGTCCTTCAAGGAACTAGAACTACTGTGTACTCCTTTCTCCTCTTTATTTAATTTACTTTTCTCCAAAATTCTCTTAGGCAGGACTTACAAGAACCATATGAAATAGCTTACTTTCTATTTGATTTAAGATGTTCCATGACCAGAGCAATGCAGAAGCTTCCTCAAGGGCACGACCATTAAAGAATTCTTTCTAACTCATCACTCAAAAAGAAAAAAAAAATCTCAAAGACATTCCAACCCACCCCTCAAGTCCTTTCTGGAAAAAAAAAAAAAAAAAAAAAAAAAAACCACTTTGTGCTGTATGTACTGATTGCTTTGGGTTAATTCAGCTATAGAAATGTCTTCTGCTTAATAACATTTTGACTTAATATATAGTACTTAAGACCAACGATGTTTGTTCCCATAGGCTAAAACTCCTAGGGCATTGTTTCTCAAACTTGACTGATGAGAAGAATCACCTGCATCACTTGTTAAAATTACAGATTTCTGGGACCACATCAGACCCAGTGAATCAGAATCTCTAAAGATAGGCACCTGAGAAGCCACACTTTAAACACCCATTCCAGGTGATTCTTATCATCAAGTAAGTTTGGGAAATAGACTTGGAAGGAAGCTAAGGAGTAAACTGTACAGCTACCCTGGAAGAGAGGATTTAGGGACTTAATAAATCAGAGTTACCTGAAAACACAGCATTATCCACGTGGAGACTCAGGACCCTGACCAGGTAAGAGTACTTGCCCACAGCCTCGTTAAGATTCTTGTAGCTGAGAAACAGCCAAGCTGCTGCTTTTGGACAGAGGGGATTGGTATCATGCACTGGAGCATGGACTGCTGAGCCAGGTTGTCTGAGTTTGAGTCCTGGCTCTTGCCTGACCTTGAACATGTTTCTTATCTTTAATTTTTTATCTATAAAGTGGGGACAATAATAATATCTACCTTGTGGGGTTTATGTGAGTATTTAATATATTGTTTTATTATTTAGGAAGTAAACTGGAGTGGGAGAACAAGTGAGGAAGAGACAAAGAATAATTCACAAGTAATGCCTTCTCAAGGAGGAGCAGAAAACTTGGGGAAGAATGCAAAGCAGTTAAACCTCCCCTACCTAGATGTTATAATAACTCGCTGTCCTTAGCCTTAATTGTTTATGTCAAACACCCTCAGCATTTATACCCAGACTCCAAATCAGGGATGTTTCCATTTCAAAACCAGGAAGCCAAGGTAGATTTTTGAAAGAATTCAACTTGTAGGTTTTATGTTAGTTCTAGGAACATCATCTATTAAGTAGGGTTTCCCTTCATCTGAGGAGTTCTCTTCATACATTAGTTTTGTCACTCTGAGTCACCTGAGTACATGAGGGCCCTAAGTGCCTGGTGACAGGGAGCATCATATGTAAGATGTGCTATGTTCAGTGACCACAGCTGAATGTGGCTGCCAGAGGCTGGTAGGAGTAAGTCTTTCTAGACAGTGTTTCATTGCTTGAGAAGATTGAAAGAAGGGGCTCAGAAGCAATAATAATCACAGCTGCCTCTTTAGACGGACTAACCCTCAGGCTTAAGCCCCAGGCTTAATTATAAGTGGTGAGCTGTAGGTGTTGGTCACAAACTGATATCTGCCATTTTTGAAAGCTGCTTCAGATAAGATAGTATAGCCTGGATTAAGATTTTATTTTAAAGTCAGTGTTTCAGCTAGCACTTTCTGGGTGGAATTAGTCAGTCCTAGAGGTGGTTATCACAGACTGTCTAGGGGCTGACCAGTAGACCAAAGGCAGCCAAAGCACAAACCATAAAGGAATATTGAGCTCTGTAACTTACCAAGAGCAACCTGTATAGAGGCTCCATGGGAACAAGATACCCGTACCCTAACAATATGATCCTTAGAATTTTAGGAGATTTCATTTATATGCAGTATGAGATTATGCTATGTGGACATTAATTACATAATTCATAGACTTGGCTTTTCATGGCCCCTATAACCAAATAGTATACATTTCCACATGGTATTCTATTTACTTCTTCAAGGACTCATCAGTTTTTCTTCCCTCTTCTAAACGTAGTCAGACCTGTGTCTCCAGAGTCTGATGAAAGCCAGGAGCCCAGCAAGTAAGCCCAGCCACAGAACCTTGCTCTACTGAGGCAGCAGTCCTCCAGGGGAACAAAGCTACTCTCCAGAAATAAGAGGTTTCTTTTAGAACTCAGCATAGGACATAAATCACTGAATCAGACAAAAACATGCACAGTTCTTTCAGGAGAAATTTAAGCGCTCCAGTTCTTACCTTTTTAATAGGCAGAGTGTATAAAAATGCTGATAACCACAGAGATCAAAAATAATTATATATTAATCCAAATAAAAGGTGATCTTACTGTAAGAGTTACTTTTTACAGAAGAAGACCTTATAAATGGCAAAGATGCTGGCTATCATGTGAGAGGTTCTGTAGGATTTTCCCTCTATAATATTCTTTTAATATCCCCATATTGATATTTCTATAACTGAAAAGAAATTTTGTCTTTGCCTTAGACTAAATAGTTTCTTGAAATTTGCTTTCTTTTAAAAGCATCAGAGCTGCTTGGTTAGCTCAGTTGGTTAGAGGGTGGTGCTGAAAACACCGAGGTCCAGGGTTCAATCCTTGTACCGGCTAGCTGCCAAAAATAAATAAATTTTAAAAAATGAAAGCATCCGAATAGTACATTTAAAAACAAACAATAAAAAACATTCAGAGCTTTAAAACACAGACTGAAAAATCCCGCTCCTCTATTTAATTTCCTCCTAGGCCTGTGTCTATCTCTCTTTTTCTCCAAGGTTCAGGATGTGAATTGTACTGTTATGCTCCTTACTATTGTACTATTTTAACTCACACCTTACATTGAGACCAATGTGGAAAATGATGCTAATATTTATTAATATCTTCTGAAGCTTTAGCTTTAATTATTTATGAATACTTAAACCTTTCCAATTCCATGGGAATTTCATATAACTATGGCAGTGACAAAAACCTTCAATATGAAACTTTTTCTTTGTGCATTTGGTTGGTAAATCAGTTACATCTTTTACTTTCAAGTATTAAAATCTAACTTTAAAAGGCACAGACCCACAAAGCAAAGGCAAAGGCAGAAAGGAAAGGGCAGAAGGGTGCATGGATCAAGGAGGTGCCAGCACTGGATGCCCTCCAACTCTGCTGCTTCTCCAGCAGGCCGTCTTTTCTCCCTCCCACTGTGGAACAGATACTTCCAACACTGCCAATGGTTTCAAACACACACCCCTAGCCTTGTTACTCCAGAAGTTGTGCTTTCCCTCCCTTGGGTTAGAAAAATCCAAGGAAGGATTCTTGTTGTCCTGGCCTGTTTTACTGCCTATCCTTGTGTGTATATGATGGCCATGCCCATTAGACCTTTATCACCAGAGCAGAGGGAGGAACATTTCCCCAAAACAAGGTTATACTGCAAGAAAAGAAGAGAAAGATCCCAGGAAAGAAAAATAACACAGATCATTGGCAGACCACTGTTTTGCTACCCAGCACACAGCACACAGCGCATACATGCACACAGGCAGAGCATCCCATACACATTTTCACTTCCAGAGTTTTCCTTCTTCACATCAGGCAGCTCTCCATGTACAACTGTAGATGTACTCACACCTTTCTCAAGAGTCTTACCCACATCCTGTGGAAGGCGCTTGGGTCTAGGATCCACCCAGGCCATGTCCATTTGTCTGGATCAGGTCTGGGTATGTCTTTTTGTGGTTCATTAACCCATTAAACCATGAACCAACTGATGCATTTTAAACACACACCCAGTATACAGATCTCTGCAGATAGGATAATTGCAATTTATAGAAGGAGGGGAAAGGAAGGTAACATAACGTGGCATATGAAGCCACATTTGCCTATGTTTCCTCCTGAAACACCACAAAAATGATGGTCAAGATTTTTTTTTACACTGTTGGTGGGACTGCAACATGGTGCAGCCTTTATGGAAAATGGTATGGAGGTTCCTCAAGCAATTACAGATAGATCTACCATATGACCCAGCTATCCCACTGCTGGGAATATACCCAGAGGAATGGAAATCATCATGTTGAGGGGATACCTGTTCCCCAGTGTTCATCACGGCACTCTTTACAATAGCCAAGAGTTGGAACCAACCCAGATGTCCATCATCAGATGAGTGGATAAGGAAAATGTAGTATATCTACACAATGGAATACTACTCTGCTAATAAAAAAGAATGAAACACTATGATTCATATCAACATGGATGGACTTAGAGAAACTTAAGTGAAATAAGTGAGGCACAGAAAGAGAAATACCACGTTATCACTTATTTGTGGGAGCTAAAAATAAATAAATAGATAAATAAATAAATATACAAACAAACAGTGGGTGGCGGGGAGAAGACACAACAATCACAACAATTCCTTGAACTTGTTAAGACAAGTGAACAGATGTGCTGATGGGGGGAGAGGGGAGAGGGAGGGAGGAAAG